TCTGTTTCTACGCACTGACGCCTCTTGGGTTGACGACTTGGCTACGCAGCGGTCGTCGCAGGGTTACACCTTCAGTCTTGGCTCCGGTTCTGTCTCTTGGCGGTCTACCCGCTCTTCTTCTGTTCTCAGCTCCAGTTGTGAGGCTGAGATCTACGCTGGGGCCATGGCTGCACAGGAGCTACGCTGGCTTACCTACCTGCTGACCAACCTGGGAGAGGCGCCTCGTTCTCCTCCAGTTCTGTACGTCGACAACAAGGCCATGTCGGCCTTGTGTCAGGAGCACAGACTGGAGCACAGAACGAAGCACATTGCTCTGCGCTACTTCCTTGCTCGAGAGTTGCAGCAGCGTCGCCAGCTTCGTCTTGCTTACGTGGCCTCACAGGCCAATACTACTGATGTTTTCACCAAGGCACTTCAGCCTTGTGATCATCAACGTTTCTGTACTGTTCTAGGCCTTGTACCTACTGTGCCTCACTTGCTTACTTCTTGACTCTGCTTGTACTGTATTCTATATACATATACCTGCATGCTTACACTTGCTAGGTTGTGTTCACTGTATTGTTTGCTTTCCTTTATATAACTCTGCATGTGAACTGGCCTTGTGGCCATTTGCTTGTGCTCAGACTGCGTGGTGACTTTGTGATCCACCCTGAGCTTGCTTTGCCTTTCTTGACTGGTCTTGTGACCTCTTGTTGTCCCCCACTTTGCCTATGGGGGTGTGTCAAACTTATATATGCTATAGTCTATTTAGGCCGTAGTGGGGTAGTTCTTAGAGGGTACAACACTTTTGTGTTTCCTACTTGTACCCACCTGCTTTCTAGTTCACTCATTCCGTTCCTCATTCTAACAAGCTCTTCATCACCTGACACGTAGGACATGAGCCCACGTGGTGCTGTACGTCGGTCAACAACTCCGGCCAGTAGTAATACCGCTGCAGTTGCTGTCGCGTTTTTTCTACCCCGAAGTGGCCCGAGGTAATCCCGTCGTGTGCCTCGTGCAGTAACAGTTCTCTCAGTAGTGAGTACGCGGGTACCCAAATGCAGTTGGTGCCTGTTTTTACGTAATAGACTCCCTTAGTTTCTGCCGGTTGCTGTGAATTTCCGGTCGTGAAAAATGGGTCGGTACTGTATCTGTGGGTGGATAGGCCTGTTAACAGTGGGTTGGTTTGGGCGAGTAGGATGGCGTGGAGTTGGGCGGTAGGACGTGTGAGTGCGTCGGCGATGTTTGATGCGCCTTTTTTGTACATGACGGTGTAGTGGAAGTTGGACTCCAGATAGTCCAACCAGCGGATCTGTCGCGGGTTGAGATTCGGTTGGGCGCGGAGGTACTGTAGAGATCGGTGATCTGTCCGTACTGTCACGTCGGCGCCAGTCAGGTAGCATCGCCACACTTTGAATGCGTGCACGATCGCCAGCATTTCGCGGTCGTGTATCGGATAGTTGCGTTCGGGCGGGTGCAGCTTGCGGGACTCGTACGCAATTGGTTGGAGGCCGTTCCCGAAGTCCTGCAACAGTACAGCTCCCACGGCGATGTCACTTGCGTCGGTGACGAGCTCGAACGGACGGTGCGGATCTGCGATGTGAAGCACGGGCGGCGAGCACAAAATTTGTTTGAGGGCCGAGAAGGCAGCTTGCTGTTTCCCCCCACGTGCACTCAACCCCCTTCCTCAGTAGGTCGGTCAACGGAGCAGTCAACTTCGCCATGTCGGGGACGAACCGACGCACGTAATTGACGAACCCCAAATTTGTCGGCGTGTGCCACGCTTGAATCGTCGCGATCTTCTTCGGGTCTATTTCCACTCCTTCAGCTGAAATAAAGTGTCCCAAAAACTCCAATCAGTCCTGTAAAAACTCACACTTAGATGCTTTCGTCAGTAGGCGGTTCTCACTCAGTATTTTAAAAGCTGCTTCAATATCCTGAAGGTGCTGTGCTAAGTCTGGGCTGTAAATCAGTATGTCGTCGAGGTACACGATGACGCACTTATCTAAAAGCAGGCGAAAGGCTTCGTTCATGGTCATTTGAAAACTTGCAGGGGCGTTGGTCAGTCCGAAAGGCATGACGGTGTATTCGAAGGATCCGTAGCGTGTTTGGAAAGCTGTTTTCGGGCAGTTGGGTGGGTTGACTCGGATCTGGTGGTAGCCTCCTCGAAGGTCAATTTTCGAGAAAACCTGGGCTGTGCGCAGTTGGTCGATCAGTTCGTCAGCTCGTGGGATGGGGTAACGGGATTTGATGGTAACCCTATTCAGTGCGCGGTAATCGATGCACATGCGAAAACCCCCGTCCTTTTTCGGTGTGAACAGTACGGCGCTGCGAAGGGTGACGAACTCGGGCGAATGAACTCCTTCTCGAGCAGGTAGTGTAGCTGCTTCCTCAGTTCGTCCAGTTCGGGTTGGGTCAGTCGGAACAGTCGCTGTACTGTTGGCTGTGCCCCCGGTTCTAGCTCTATCCTGTGGCCGTGCGTCTGCTGAGGTGGCAGTCCTGTCGGCAGGTCATCCGGGAAAATCCCACTGTACTGCTTCAATAGTGCTGCCGAGTCGATAAATCCCCCCCTTTGTCTGCTGCCTCAGCTTCCCGAATGTCGACCGCGTACACGTCAGCTCCTGCCGCTACGGCGCGTTTCATCGTGATTGCGTTGACACGCACCGACGAAGACTCCGGCGAGCCCCAGCGAGGTAAGGTGATGTTGTTACCGTTCACTCGCACGGTGCAGTCACCCGTCGTCCAGTCGATTCGCGGATTGTGTCGTCGCAGCCAATCACGGCCGAGTAAAATGTCGGTTCCGTCGAGGGTTGTCGCGAGCATTTCCTGGCTAAACGTGAAGTTACCCCCGCATCGAATCCAAACCCGGTGTACGCGTTCCCGTATCGCCAGTGGCGTGCCGTCAACAAGTCTTGCGTCGATCTCAGGTAAACATCTGTCCAGTGGCAGTCTCAGTTTTCGTGCCGTGGCGATGTTGATCAGACTGTGGCTGGCTCCCCCGTCTACGAATATTTTAATTAAGTCTGTCCCAATTTTCCCGCTAAGCAGTATGGGGCTGTCTACCGTAGTACCCTCCTTATTCGGCCGGGTGTGGTCGATTGCGTGAACCGGCATAATCACTCGGTGAGGGTCGGTTGGGTCGGGCGAGCGGCGTGACCTGTCAGTAGAGGGCCCGTCTGCTACTGAATCCCAGCGTTTCCCTGCTGCTTGGTCTGTTTCTGCTGCTTAGCTTCCCCCTTTCCCTTAGCGTTTTCCAGGCATTCGCTCTTGCGGTGTCCCGGCCGATTGCACGCGAAGCAGCGCCCTTTGAAAGGTGCGGCAGCGGCATTCGCGACGACGGCACGTATCGTGGCGCCCTCGTCGAGATCGATGTCCCCAGTTGCTGTTGCTTCCGTAGGACCCCGGCCTCGGTCGGCGAAAGAAGTCGAGCTTCTCCGCCATGGCGAGAATTTCCTGGAAGTCGGTGACGCCGCGGAGCTGAATTTCTTGGGCGATATCATGCTTCAGGCCGCTGATGTAGCGGTCGATGCGCTCGCTTTCGTGCATGTATCCCACTTGCTCACACAGCGCCAGGAACCCGCTAGTGTAGTCTTGGACGGAACCGAGTTGGCGCCAAGTGCGGAGCTTCTGACGCGCCGCGATCGAAGCCGCAATTGGCTCAAATCGAGCGCGCAGACCTGCGCACCACGCGTCCCACGTGCGATATTGGGGCACCTCTACGAAATACGACGGCGCCCAGAGTCCGGTTTGTCCTTCCCGTGTCGGTAGAGTCGCGTAGTCCATCGGCTTCGTGACGATGACGCGCCACCAGTCCATGGCGGGTTCTCGCAGCAGCGACACGGCGCAGCGAATCTTCGCCGTATCCTCCGAGACGTAGTTGGCGTCAAAAAATAAGTTCAACGTGAACAACCACGCCTGAACGGTAGGACCACCCCGTTGACTCGGGTCAAAGCATGGCGGACGCTGCGGCTTCAGCGGCATCGGTGACGGCAGTGCCGAATCATTGGTCGGTGCCGAAATCGTGACGCGAGGCTGGCTCCTGGCCGCATTTGTCGCTTCGGGGTGTGTCGTGCCTTGGTCGTCGTCTCCGTCGTGGCGGACGACGCCATCACTGGCCGCACTCGCGGGTTGCCCCACACTTCCGTGCTGTGATGCCTGTGGTGCAGGTTGTCCCGGAGTGCCAGGTGCTTGTGATTGTGCTTGCTGTGCTCGTGCGACGTCATTTTGCAGGGACGTGCGTTCGGCTGTCAGTGCCGCGATTTCTTCAGAGTTTCGTGGAGTTGTCGCAGCAGCTCGTTCAAACGGTCCTGCGTGAGCGTCGTGACGTCGATATGTTCAGCCATAACGAAGGGCGTCGGCTCAGCTTAGTCTAGGCGCAGTCGTGGCTGCACGCGTTTACGAGAGAACGCGAGGACAGCGGCTCCTAGGTGCTAAGGGGCGTGAGTCCCTTCGAGTGAAAAATCAAAAGTTGATTTCCTGGGGTGCGGAGATGCGCGGTCCGAAAGAAAGTGGCTATGATAACCAAGTGTTACGGGTGCAATGAATCGAGGTAGCGAGGATTGCACTAGAGTGTTCAATGAGTACAAAATATGAGCGAAGGCATGAGCGAATACTTATACGCGAAAATGTGCAAACGGTAACGCGGTGCGTGCGAGCTAGCTAGTGCTACGCTGGCGCGAGGTTCGGGTTAGTCCCGAAGCGTAGGCCGACTCGGCTGCTCCAGCAGTGCGAGGTTTGGTGAAACAGTGCGCGCGTAGTTGGCGAAGCCCTGTTAGCAGTAACGAGCGAACAACAGCTGCTGCTGTACGCGATGTGGACGGTCGCGGTAAGGAATAGCGAGAAAATTCCTTACCATAATTTTCATCCTTCAAGAATCCTCCTACCACAGTTGGCACTTACGGACACTCCCTGAACTTTCAGATTCCATATTTTCATTTTGACCATAAATAGACATTGCTACGGTATGCATAAATAACAACTGCTACGATTCCTATGAAGCTACCGTATAATCATGTGTACATTCACTTGGGAAGGCCTTCTTCCTGTACGCTGTTTGCATCACCACCTCCAACATTTTCCTCGGTTACTTGATTCTCACCTTTCTCGTCACCTCCTGCTTCTGCAGCTGTGACTTCTTTCTTCTCACCTCCTTCCGCCTCTTCCTCCTCGCTGCCATGGCTCTCTGATGTCCTGCCTCCCCCTCCCAGCGACCTCAGTGCACGATACACCTTGCCCCGTTTCGCACTTCCCTTCTCCTTATCCTTGGGCTCAAACACCACGCGCCCCCCCTTGCCACTGCCACTCCTTTTGTCTGGGCTCGCCTGCTTGCCCCTGCCAGGCCCATGCTCCGCCGACCCGTGCTCGCTGCCCGAGCCTTTTCCCACGGAGCCGTCCCCCCCACGGGGATGCAAGCCAGAGCCGGCCTCATTGGAGGCCTGGGAGCGCAGGGAGCGCAGGAGGTTGCCGATGCGCTTGGTGCGGATGGCCTGCCGCATGACGTCGATGGGCAGCTTCAGGCGCCGCCGCAGCACCGAGCGGTACCACACCTGGATGGTGGTGGCTGCCCGCATGCGCCGGTTCAACGAGCACTCGCTGTTGGGGGGGGAAGAAACACACAGGGGTGCGGGGCGGGAGTAGGGGAGCCAACAGAGGAGGCAGACAAAGTGAGGCTAGGCGGGAAGCAGGAGACAATGGTATGGAGGATGGGAAGGCGGTACAGTGTGTGAGAGCGTATGTGCGAGTGGGGGCGGGGCGAGGGCGTACTTGAGGGCGTGCTGCACTTGGTCGGACTGCATGACGGTGAAGAACTGCGTGCACACGAAGTCAATGTCTACCGCCTCCAGCGAGAAGCCCTCCACGGGGCCGATGCAGCAGAAGGTGCGCTCCGACTTGGGCAGCATCTCCGGCATCACCGCCGACCCCACCTTCACATCGCCTGCCACCCCTCCACAGTACGGCCGGGAAGGACGGCAGGAAAGGTTTCAAGGGAGATGCAGCACGAAGCGATGAGTGGCAGGTGTGGTAGTGCATGTCAGCAGGTGGAGTGGCTGTGCAGCAGTGGGGTGAGAGCGGGCCGGACAGGAGTGGGTGGAAGGGGACTCACGGCGGAGGGAGCGGCGGGAGCTTTGTTTCTTGGAGACCTCGGCGTACTTTTCAATGAAGTAGACGAGCAGCTCCTCGCCCACAAACTGCCCCTTCCCCAGCAGCACCTCCTCGTAGAACCCTGTGCGCCCGCCGTTGGTCGTGGAGCTCTGCAGCGTGCCGCGCAGCACGAAGAACATGCGCGACACGGGCGAGCCCTCGCGCAGCACGAGCGTGCCGTCGATGTAGAGGCGCTGCTTCAGGCGCTCGCAGATGGCGTCCAGCACCTGCTCTGGCATGCCCTTCAGCAGCACACAGTGCTGCGCACGCAGGGGGGGGGGGAGGGGAGCGAGATGGGGGACCAGGTGAGGCAGGGAGTCAGGGAGGCATAAGGCGATGGAGGGACTTGGGGAGCAGGGAGGCATGACGTGGAAGGTTGGACGGGGAGGAGGAGATGCGGCGGGGTGGATTGGATGGACAGGAGCTGAACCTACCTGGGTGATGAGCTCGTAGGAGAGGTGGCGGCGCACGTCCCTCTGGATGTCCTCCGAGAGTGACGTCATGACCTCCTCCTCGTTGACCCCCTGGTTCACCGTCCACACATACCGCTCCAGGTCCCGCACCCGCCTGCTCCCATGCCGCACACACGACACGAGGCGGGGTGGGGTGGGGTGGGGTGGGGTGGGGTGGGGTGGAGAGAGAGAGTTGAGAGAGGGGAGGTGCGTGGAGGGGAGAGAGAAGCGCAACAGGAAGAGGTGATGGATTGGACGGGTGAGAGATGAGGGATGGGAAGGAATGGGCGATGGAAAGGAGACAAGTGCCGAGGGGTGAAGAGAGAGGGATGAGTGGGGAGGGGTGAGGGTTGAGAGATGAGGGTGGAGGAGTGCGAAGAGGTGGCGGAGGGCGAGCAGCAGTGTGGGAGGGCGGTGGAGTGGAGGACATGGCCCGAGGGCGGTGGAGTGGGGGAGATGCCCCGAGGGAAGGGCGGTCAAGGGCGCAGGCACAGCCTGGAAAGACAAGACAAGACACTGCATCATGCACCCTCGCTGTGCGCATCCAACAAACGCCACTGCCCCATGACCGCACCCCCTCACACGAGGGGTGGGTGGGCGCGCATGCAGAGAGAGACGCACCTCTGCAGCTCGCGGGGAATGTCTCGCTGCGACATCCACTGCTCCAAGTCCCTCAGGTGCAGCCGGTGCTCAAACGACCTGCCATGTGCCACCCATAGCCCCCCCCCTCCCCCCCACCCACCACACACAGGCGCACGCGCACAGAGATGCAGACAGGGGGTGAGTGGTGGTGAGAAGGCAAATCAGAGCGATGAGGGTGGCGGCAGGGTTGCTAGAGGGATGAGGCAGGTTAAGAGGCGAGTCGAGAACGCAGCACAAGGGGAACGAACAGCACGGGGAACGCATGGTGAATGGAGTGAAGTGAGCATGAGCTGGGTGGCTGACTCGCGGCCTGCTGCACTCAGTGCGCGTGTGGTGGTCCGCGCACGGGTTACCGGCGGCTGAGGGACTGACCGGCGGCTGAGGGACTGACCGGCGGCTGAGGGACTGACCAGCGGCTGAGGGACTGACCGGCGGCTGAGGGACTGACCTGCGGCTGAGGGACTGACCAGCGGCTGAGGGACTGACCTGCAGCTGAGGGACTGACCGGCGGCTGAGGGACTGACCTGCGGCTGAGGGACTGACCTGCGGCTGAGGGACTGACTGACCTGCGGCTGAGGGACTGACTGACCTGCGGCTGAGGGACTGACTGACCTGCGGCTGAGAGACTGACTGACCTGCGGCTGAGGGACTGACTGACCTGCGGCTGAGGGACTGACTGACCTGCGGCTGAGGGACTGACCTGCGGCTAAGGGACTGACCTGCGGCTGAGGGACTGACCTGCGGCTGAGGGACTGACCTGCGGCTGAGGGACTGACCTGCGGCTGAGGGACTGACCTGCGGCTGAGGGACTGACCTGCGGCTGAGGGACTGACCTGCGGCTGAGGGACTGACCTGCAGCTGAGGGACTGACCGGCGGCTGAGGGACTGACCTGCGGCTGAGGGACTGACTGACCTGCGGCTGAGGGACTGACTGACCTGCGGCTGAGGGACTGACTGACCTGCGGCTGAGGGACTGACTGACCTGCGGCTGAGGGACTGACTGACCTGCGGCTGAGGGGGACTGACTGACCTGCGGCTGAGGGACTGACCTGACCTGCGGCTGAGGGACGGACTGACCTGCGGCTGAGGGACGGACCTGACCTGCGGCTGAGGGACCTGACCTGCGGCTGAGGGACTGACCTGCGGCTGAGGGACTGACCTGCGGCTGAGGGACTGACCTGTCGGCTGAGGGACTGACTGACCGGCTGAGGGACTGACCTGCGGCTGAGGGACTGACCTGCGGCTGAGGGACTGACCTGCGGCTGAGGGACTGACCTGCGGCTGAGGGACTGACCTGCGGCTGAGGGACTGACCTGCGGCTGAGGGACTGACCTGCGGCTGAGGGACTGACCTGCGGCTGAGGGACTGACCTGCGGCTGAGGGACTGACCTGCGGCTGAGGGACTGACCTGCGGCTGAGGGACTGACCTGCGGCTGAGGGACTGACCTGCGGCTGAGGGACTGACCTGCGGCTGAGGGACTGACCTGCGGCTGAGGGACTGACCTGCGGCTAGGGACTGACCTGCGGCTGAAGGGACTGACCTGCGGCTGAGGGACTGACCTGCGGCTGAGGGACTGACCTGCGGCTGAGGGACTGACCTGCGGCTGAGGGACTGACTGCCCTGCGGCTGAGGGCTGAACCTGCGGCTGAGGACTGACCTGCGGCTGAGGGACTGACCTGACTGCTGCGCCGCCTGAGGGACTGACTGCCTGCTGATGAGGGACTGACTGACCTGGCGGCTGAGGGACTGACTGACCTGCGGCTGAGGGACTGACTGACCTGCGGCTTTCGAGGGACTGACTTCCTGCGGCTGAGGGACTGACCTGCGGCTGAGGGACTGACCTGCGGCTTGAGGGGACTTGACCTGCGGCTGAGGGACTGACCTGCGGCTGAGGGACTGACCTGCGGCTGAGGGACTGACCTGCGGCTGAGGGACTGACCTGCGGCTGAGGACTGACCTGCGGCTGAGGGACGGACCTGGACTGACCTGCGGCTGAGGGACTGACCTGCGGCTGAGGGACTGACCTGCGGCTGAGGGACTGACCTGCGGCTGAGGGACTGACCTGCGGCTGAGGGACTGACTGACCTGCGGCTGAGGGACTGACCTGCGGCTGAGGGACTGACCTGCGGCTGAGGGACTGACTGACCTGCGGCTGAGGGACTGACTGACCTGCGGCTGAGGGACTGACCTGCGGCTGAGGGACTGACCTGCGGCTGAGGGACTGACCTGCGGCTGAGGGACTGACTGACCTGCGGCTGAGGGACTGACCTGCGGCTGAGGGACTGACCTGCGGCTGAGGGACTGACCTGCGGCTGAGGGACTGACCTGCGGCTGAGGGACTGACTGACCTGCGGCTGAGGGACTGACCTGCGGCTGAGGGACTGACCTGCGGCTGAGGGACTGACTGACCTGCGGCTGAGGGACTGACCTGCGGCTGAGGGACTGACCTGCGGCTGAGGGACTGACCTGCGGCTGAGGGACTGACTGACCTGCGGCTGAGGGACTGACCTGCGGCTGAGGGACTGACCTGCGGCTGAGGGACTGACCTGCGGCTGAGGGACTGACCTGCGGCTGAGGGACTGACCTGCGGCTGAGGGACTGACTGACCTGCGGCTGAGGGACTGACCTGCGGCTGAGGGACTGACCTGCGGCTGAGGGACTGACCTGCGGCTGAGGGACTGACCTGCGGCTGAGGGACTGACCTGCGGCTGAGGGACTGACCTGCGGCTGAGGGACTGACTGACCTGCGGCTGAGGGACTGACCTGCGGCTGAGGGACTGACCTGCGGCTGAGGGACTGACCTGCGGCTGAGGGACTGACCTGCGGCTGAGGGACTGACCTGCGGCTGAGGGACTGACCTGCGGCTGAGGGACTGACCTGCGGCTGAGGGACTGACCTGCGGCTGAGGGACTGACCTGCGGCTGAGGGACTGACCTGCGGCTGAGGGACTGACCTGCGGCTGAGGGACTGACCTGCGGCTGAGGGACTGACCTGCGGCTGAGGGACTGACCTGCGGCTGAGGGACTGACTGACCTGCGGCTGAGGGACTGACCTGCGGCTGAGGGACTGACCTGCGGCTGAGGGACTGACTGACCTGCGGCTGAGGGACTGACCTGCGGCTGAGGGACTGACCTGCGGCTGAGGGACTGACCTGCGGCTGAGGGACTGACTGACCTGCGGCTGAGGGACTGACCTGCGGCTGAGGGACTGACCTGCGGCTGAGGGACTGACCTGCGGCTGAGGGACTGACCTGCGGCTGAGGGACTGACTGACCTGCGGCTGAGGGACTGACCTGCGGCTGAGGGACTGACCTGCGGCTGAGGGACTGACTGACCTGCGGCTGAGGGACTGACTGACCTGCGGCTGAGGGACTGACCTGCGGCTGAGGGACTGACCTGCGGCTGAGGGACTGACCTGCGGCTGAGGGACTGACTGACCTGCGGCTGAGGGACTGACCTGCGGCTGAGGGACTGACCTGCGGCTGAGGGACTGACCTGCGGCTGAGGGACTGACCTGCGGCTGAGGGACTGACTGACCTGCGGCTGAGGGACTGACCTGCGGCTGAGGGACTGACCTGCGGCTGAGGGACTGACCTGCGGCTGAGGGACTGACCTGCGGCTGAGGGACTGACCTGCGGCTGAGGGACTGACCTGCGGCTGAGGGACTGACTGACCTGCGGCTGAGGGACTGACTGACCTGCGGCTGAGGGACTGACCTGCGGCTGAGGGACTGACCTGCGGCTGAGGGACTGACCTGCGGCTGAGGGACTGACCTGCGGCTGAGGGACTGACCTGCGGCTGAGGGACTGACCTGCGGCTGAGGGACTGACCTGCGGCTGAGGGACTGACCTGCGGCTGAGGGACTGACCTGCGGCTGAGGGACTGACCTGCGGCTGAGGGACTGACCTGCGGCTGAGGGACTGACCTGCGGCTGAGGGACTGACCTGCGGCTGAGGGACTGACCTGCGGCTGAGGGACTGACCTGCGGCTGAGGGACTGACCTGCGGCTGAGGGACTGACCTGCGGCTGAGGGACTGACCTGCGGCTGAGGGACTGACCTGCGGCTGAGGGACTGACCTGCGGCTGAGGGACTGACCTGCGGCTGAGGGACTGACCTGCGGCTGAGGACTGACCTGCGGCTGAGGGACTGACCTGCGGCTGAGGGACTGACCTGCGGCTGAGGGACTGACCTGCGGCTGAGGGACTGACCTGCGGCTGAGGGACTGACCTGCGGCTGAGGGACTGACCTGCGGCTGAGGGACTGACCTGCGGCTGAGGGACTGACCTGCGGCTGAGGGACTGACCTGCGGCTGAGGGACTGACCTGCGGCTGAGGGACTGACCTGCGGCTGAGGGACTGACCTGCGGCTGAGGGACTGACCTGCGGCTGAGGGACTGACCTGCGGCTGAGGGACTGACCTGCGGCTGAGGGACTGACCTGCGGCTGAGGGACTGACCTGCGGCTGAGGGACTGACCTGCGGCTGAGGGACTGACCTGCGGCTGAGGGACTGACCTGCGGCTGAGGGACTGACTGACCTGCGGCTGAGGGACTGACCTGCGGCTGAGGGACTGACCTGCGGCTGAGGGACTGACCTGCGGCTGAGGGACTGACCTGCGGCTGAGGGACTGACCTGCGGCTGAGGGACTGACTGACCTGCGGCTGAGGGACTGACCTGCGGCTGAGGGACTGACCTGCGGCTGAGGGACTGACCTGCGGCTGAGGGACTGACCTGCGGCTGAGGGACTGACCTGCGGCTGAGGGACTGACCTGCGGCTGAGGGACTGACCTGCGGCTGAGGGACTGACCTGCGGCTGAGGGACTGACCTGCGGCTGAGGGACTGACCTGCGGCTGAGGGACTGACTGACCTGCGGCTGAGGGACTGACCTGCGGCTGAGGGACTGACTGACCTGCGGCTGAGGGACTGACCTGCGGCTGAGGGACTGACCTGCGGCTGAGGGACTGACCTGCGGCTGAGGGACTGACCTGCGGCTGAGGGACTGACCTGCGGCTGAGGGACTGACCTGCGGCTGAGGGACTGACCTGCGGCTGAGGGACTGACCTGCGGCTGAGGGACTGACCTGCGGCTGAGGGACTGACCTGCGGCTGAGGGACTGACCTGCGGCTGAGGGACTGACCTGCGGCTGAGGGACTGACCTGCGGCTGAGGGACTGACCTGCGGCTGAGGGACTGACCTGCGGCTGAGGGACTGACCTGCGGCTGAGGGACTGACCTGCGGCTGAGGGACTGACCTGCGGCTGAGGGACTGACCTGCGGCTGAGGGACTGACCTGCGGCTGAGGGACTGACCTGCGGCTGAGGGACTGACCTGCGGCTGAGGGACTGACCTGCGGCTGAGGGACTGACCTGCGGCTGAGGGACTGACCTGCGGCTGAGGGACTGACCTGCGGCTGAGGGACTGACCTGCGGCTGAGGGACTGACCTGCGGCTGAGGGACTGACCTGCGGCTGAGGGACTGACCTGCGGCTGAGGGACTGACTGACCTGCGGCTGAGGGACTGACCTGCGGCTGAGGGACTGACCTGCGGCTGAGGGACTGACTGACCTGCGGCTGAGGGACTGACTGACCTGCGGCTGAGGGACTGACCTGCGGCTGAGGGACTGACCTGCGGCTGAGGGACTGACCTGCGGCTGAGGGACTGACTGACCTGCGGCTGAGGGACTGACCTGCGGCTGAGGGACTGACCTGCGGCTGAGGGACTGACCTGCGGCTGAGGGACTGACCTGCGGCTGAGGGACTGACTGACCTGCGGCTGAGGGACTGACCTGCGGCTGAGGGACTGACCTGCGGCTGAGGGACTGACTGACCTGCGGCTGAGGGACTGACTGACCTGCGGCTGAGGGACTGACCTGCGGCTGAGGGACTGACCTGCGGCTGAGGGACTGACCTGCGGCTGAGGGACTGACCTGCGGCTGAGGGACTGACCTGCGGCTGAGGGACTGACCTGCGGCTGAGGGACTGCGGCTGAGGGACTGACCTGCGGGCTGAGGGACTGACCTGCGGCTGAGGGACTGACCTGCGGCTGAGGGACTGACCTGCGGCTGAGGGACTGACCTGCGGCTGAGGGACTGACCTGCGGCTGAGGGACTGACCTGCGGCTGAGGGACTGACCTGCGGCTGAGGGACTGACCTGCGGCTGAGGGACTGACCTGCGGCTGAGGGACTGACCCTGCGGCTGAGGGACTGACCTGCGGCTGAGGGACTGACCTGCGGCTGAGAGGACTGACCTGCGGCTGAGGGACTGACCTGCGGCTGGGGACTGACCTGCGGCTGAGGGACTGACCTGCGGCTGAGGGACTGACCTGCGGCTGAGGGACTGACCTGCGGCTGAGGGACTGACCTGCGGCTGAGGGACTGACCTGCGGCTGAGGGACTGACCTGCGGCTGAGGGACTGACCTGCGGCTGAGGGGCTGACCTGCGGCTGAGGGACTGACCTGCGGCTGAGGGACTGACCTGCGGCTGAGGGACTGACCTGCGGCTGAGGGGACTGACCTGCGGCTGAGGGACTGACCTGCGGCTGAGGGACTGACCTGCGGCTGAGGGACTGACCTGCGGCTGAGGACTGTACCTGCGGCTGAGGGACTGACCTGCGGCTGAGGGACTGACCTGCGGCTGAGGGGACTGACCTGCGGCTGAGGGACTGACCTGCGGCTGAGGGACTGACCTGCGGCTGAGGGACTGACCTGCGGCTGAGGGACTGACCTGCGGCTGAGGGACTGACCTGCGGCTGAGGGACTGACCTGCGGCTGAGGGACTGACCTGCCGGCTGAGGGACTGACCTGCGGCTGAGGGACTGACCTGCGGCTGAGGGACTGACCTGCGGCTGAGGGACTGACCTGCGGCTGAGGGACTGACCGGCGGCTGAGGGACTGACCTGCGGCTGAGGGACTGACCTGCGGCTGAGGGACTGACCTGCGGCTGAGGGACTGACCTGCGGCTGAGGACTGACCTGCGGCTGAGGGACTGACCTGCGGCTGAGGGACTGACCTGCGCTGAGGGACTGACCTGCGGCTGAGGGACTGACCTGCGCTGAGGGACTGACCTGCGGCTGAGGGACTGACCTGCGGCTGAGGGGACTGACCTGCGGCGGAGGGACTGACTGACCTGCGGCGGAAGGGACGGACCTGACCTGCGGCTGAGGGACTGACCTGCGGCTGAGGGACTGACCTGCGGCTGAGGGACTGACCTGCGGCTGAGGGACTGACCTGCGGCTGAGGGACTGACCTGCGGCTGAGGGACTGACCTGCGGCTGAGGGACTGACCTGCGGCTGAGGGACTGACCTGCGGCTGAGGGACTGACCTGCGGCTGAGGGACTGACCTGCGGCTGAGGGACTGACCTGCGGCTGAGGGACTGACCTGCGGCTGAGGGACTGACCTGCGGCTGAGGGACTGACCTGCGGCTGAGGGACTGACCTGCGGCTGAGGGACTGACCTGCGGCTGAGGGACTGACCTGCGGCTGAGGGACTGACCTGCGGCTGAGGGACTGACCTGCGGCTGAGGGACTGACCTGCGGCTGAGGGACTGACCTGCGGCTGAGGGACTGACCTGCGGCTGAGGGACTGACCTGCGGCTGAGGGACTGACCTGCGGCTGAGGGACTGACCTGCGGCTGAGGGACTGACCTGCGGCTGAGGGACTGACCTGCGGCTGAGGGACTGACCTGCGGCTGAGGGACTGACCTGCGGCTGAGGGAACCTGACCTGCGGCTTGAGGGACTGACCTGCGGCTGAGGGACTGACCTGCGGCTGAGGGACTGACCTGCGGCTGAGGGGCTGACCTGCGGCTGAGGGACTGACCTGCGGCTGAGGGACTGACCTGCGGCTGAGGGACTGACCTGCGGCTGAGGGACTGACCTGCGGCTGAGGGACTGACCTGCGGCTGAGGGACTGACCTGCGGCTGAGGGACTGACCTGCGGCTGAGGGACTGACCTGCGTCTGAGGGACTGACTGCGGCTGAGGGACTGACCTGCGGCTGAGGGACTGACCTGCGGCTGAGGGACTGACCTGCGGCTGAGGGACTGGCCTGCGGCTGAGGGACTGACCTGCGGCTGAGGGACTGACCTGCGGCTGAGGGACTGACCTGCGGCTGAGGGACTGACCTGCGGCTGAGGGACTGACCTGCGGCTGAGGGACTGACTGCGGCTGAGGGACTGACCTGCGGCTGAGGGACTGACCTGCGGCTGAGGGACTGACCTGCGGCTGAGGGACTGCCCTGCGGCTGAGGGACTGACCTGCGGCTGAGGGACTGACCTGCGGCTGAGGGACTGACCTGCGGCTGAGGGACTGACCTGCGGCTGAGGGACTGACCTGCGGCTGAGGGACTGACCTGCGGCTGAGGGACTGACCTGCGGCTGAGGGACTGACCTGCGGCTGAGGGACTGACCTGCGGCTGAGGGACTGACCTGCGGCTGAGGGACTGACCTGCGGCTGAGGGACTGACCTGCGGCTGAGGGACTGACCTGCGGCTGAGGGACTGACCTGCGGCTGAGGGACTGACCTGCGGCTGAGGGACTGACCTGCGGCTGAGGGACTGACCTGCGGCTGAGGGACTGACCTGCGGCTGAGGGACTGACCTGCGGCTGAGGGACTGACCTGCGGCTGAGGGACTGACCTGCGGCTGAGGGACTGACCTGCGGCTGAGGGACTGACCTGCGGCTGAGGGACTGACCTGCGGCTGAGGGACTGACCTGCGGCTGAGGGACTGACCTGCGGCTGAGGGACTGACCTGCGGCTGAGGGACTGACCTGCGGCTGAGGGACTGACCTGCGGCTGAGGGACTGACCTGCGGCTGAGGGACTGACCTGCGGCTGAGGGACTGACCTGCGGCTGAGGGACTGACCTGCGGCTGAGGGACTGACCTGCGGCTGAGGGACTGACCTGCGGCTGAGGGACTGACCTGCGGCTGAGGGACTGACCTGCGGCTGAGGGACTGACCTGCGGCTGAGGGACTGACCTGCGGCTGAGGGACTGACCTGCGGCTGAGGGACTGACCTGCGGCTGAGGGACTGACCTGCGGCTGAGGGACTGACCTGCGGCTGAGGGACTGACCTGCGGCTGAGGGACTGACCTGCGGCTGAGGGACTGACCTGCGGCTGAGGGACTGACCTGCGGCTGAGGGACTGACCTGCGGCTGAGGGACTGACCTGCGGCTGAGGGACTGACCTGCGGCTGAGGGACTGACCTGCGGCTGAGGGACTGACCTGCGGCTGTAGGACTGACCTGCGGCTGAGGGACTGACCTGCGGCTGAGGGACTGACCTGCGGCTGAGGGACTGACCTGCGGCTGAGGGACTGACCTGCGGCTGAGGGACTGACCTGCGGCTGAGGGACTGACCTGCGGCTGAGGGACTGACCTGCGGCTGAGGACTGACCTGCGGCTGAGGGACTGACCTGCGGCTGAGGGACTGACCTGCGGCTGAGGGACCTGACCTGCGGCTGAGGGACTGACCTGCGGCTGAGGGACTGACCTGCGGCTGAGGGACTGACCTGGCGGCTGAGGGACTGACCTGCGGCTGAGGGACTGACCTGCGGCTGAGGGACTGACCTGCGGCTGAGGGACTGACCTGCGGCTGAGGGACTGACCTGCGGCTGAGGGACTGACCTGCGCTGAGGGACTGACCTGCGCTGAGGACTGACCTGCGGCTGAGGGACTGACCTGCGGCTGAGGGACTGACCTGCGGCTGAGGGACTGACCTGCGGCTGAGGGACTGACCTGCGGCTGAGGGACTGACCTGCGGCTGAGGGACTGACCTGCGGCTGAGGGACTGACCTGCGGCTGAGGGACTGACCTGCGGCTGAGGGACTGACCTGCGGCTGAGGGACTGACCTGCGGCTGAGGGACTGACCTGCGGCTGAGGGACTGACCTGCGGCTGAGGGGACTGACCTGCGGCTGAGGGACTGACCTGCGGCTGAGGGACTGACCTGCGGCTGAGGGACTGACCTGCGGCTGAGGGACTGACCTGCGGCTGAGGGACTGACCTGCGGCTGAGGGACTGACCTGCGGCTGAGGGACTGACCTGCGGCTGAGGGACTGACCTGCGGCTGAGGGACTGACCTGCGGCTGAGGGACTGACCTGCGGCTGAGGGACTGACCTGCGGCTGAGGGACTGACCTGCGGCTGAGGGACTGACCTGCGGCTGAGGGACTGACCTGCGGCTGAGGGACTGACCTGCGGCTGAGGGACTGACCTGCGGCTGAGGGACTGACCTGCGGCTGAGGGACTGACCTGCGGCTGAGGGACTGACCTGCGGCTGAGGGACTGACCTGCGGCTGAGGGACTGACCTGGCGGCTGAGGGACTGACCTGCGGCTGAGGGACTGACCTGCGGCTGAGGGACTGACCTGCGGCTGAGGGACTGAACTGCGGCTGAGGGACTGACCTGCGGCTGAGGGACTGACCTGCGGCTGAGGGACTGACCTGCGGCTGAGGGACTGACCTGCGCTGAGGGACTGACCTGCGGCTGAGGGACTGACCTGCGGCTGAGGGACTGACCTGCGGCTGAGGGACTGACCTGCGGCTGAGGGACTGACCTGCGGCTGAGGGACTGGACCTGCGGCTGGGGACTGACCTGCGGCTGAGGGACTGACCTGCGGCTGAGGGACTGACCTGCGGGGCTGAGGGACTGACCTGCGGCTGAGGGACTGACCTGCGGCTGAGGGACTGCCTGCGGCTGAGGGACTGACCTGCGGCTGAGGGACTGACCTGCGGCTGAGGGACTGACCTGCGGCTGAGGGACTGACCTGCGGCTGAGGGACTGACCTGCGGCTGAGGGACTGACCTGCGGCTGAGGGACTGACCTGCGGCTGAGGGACTGACCTGCGGCTGAGGGACTGACCTGCGGCTGAGGGACTGACCTGCGGCTGAGGGACTGACCTGCGGCTGAGGGACTGACCTGCGGCTGAGGGACTGACCTGCGGCTGAGGGACTGACCTGCGGCTGAGGGACTGACCTGCGGCTGAGGGACTGACCTGCGGCTGAGGGGGACTGACCTGCGGCTGAGGACTGACCTGCGGCTGAGGGACTGACCTGCGGCTGAGGGACTGACCTGCGGCTGAGGGACTGACCTGCGGCTGAGGGACTGACCTGCGGCTGAGGGACTGACCTGCGGCTGAGGGACTGACCTGCGGCTGAGGGACTGACCTGCGGCTGAGGGACTGACCTGCGGCTGAGGGACTGACCTGCGGCTGAGGGACTGACCTGCGGCTGAGGGACTGACCTGCGGCTGAGGGACTGACTGACCTGCGGCTGAGGGACTGACTGACCTGCGGCTGAGGGACTGACCTGCGGCTGAGGGACTGACCTGCGGCTGAGGGACTGACCTGCGGCTGAGGGACTGACTGACCTGCGGCTGAGGGACTGACCTGCGGCTGAGGGACTGACCTGCGGCTGAGGGACTGACCTGCGGCTGAGGGACTGACCTGCGGCTGAGGGACTGACCGACCTGCGGCTGAGGGACTGACCGACCTGCGGCTGAGGGACTGACCTGCGGCTGAGGGACTGACTGACCTGCGGCTGAGGGACTGACTGACCTGCGGCTGAGGGACTGACTGACCTGCGGCTGAGGGACTGACCTGCGGCTGAGGGACTGACCTGCGGCTGAGGGACTGACCTGCGGCTGAGGTACTGACTGACCTGCGGCTGAGGGACTGACTGACCTGCGGCTAAGGGCTGACTGACCTGCGGCTGAGGGACTGACCTGCGGCTGAGGGACTGACCTGCGGCTGAGGGACTGACCTGCGGCTGAGGGACTGACTGCCTGCGGCTGAGGGACTGACCTGCGGCTGAGGGACTGACCTGCGGCTGAGGGACTGACCTGCGGCTGAGGGACTGACCTGCGGCTGAGGGACTGACCTGCGGCTGAGGGACTGACCTGCGGCTGAGGGACTGACCTGCGGCTGAGGGACTGACCTGCGGCTGAGGGGACTGACCTGCGGCTGAGGGACTGACCTGCGGCTGAGGGACTGACCTGCGGCTGAGGGACTGACCTGCGGCTGAGGGACTGACCTGCGGCTGAGGGACTGACCTGCGGCTGAGGGACTGACCTGACCTGCGGCTGAGGGACTGACCTGCGGCTGAGGGACTGACCTGCGGCTGAGGGACTGACCTGCGGCTTGAGGGACTGACCTGCGGCTGAGGGGACTGACCTGCGGCTGAGGGACTGACCTGCGGCTGAGGGACCTGACCTGCGGCTGAGGGACTGACCTGCGGCTGAGGGACTGACCTGCGGCTGAGGGCTGACCTGCGGCTGAGGGACTGACCTGCGGCTGAGGGACTGACCTGCGGCTGAGGGACTGACCTGCGCTGAGGGGACTGACCTGCGGCTGAGGGACTGACCTGCGGCTGAGGGACTGACCTGCGGCTGAGGGGACTGGACCTGCGGCTGAGGGACGACCTGCGGCTGAGGGACTGACCTGCGGCTGAGGGACTGACCTGCGGCTGAGGGACTGACCTGCGGCTGAGGGACTGACCTGCGGCTGAGGACTGACCTGCGGCTGAGGGACTGACCTGCGGCTGAGGGACTGACCTGCGGCTGAGGACTGACCTGCGGCTGAGGGACTGACCTGCGGCTGAGGGACTGACCTGCGGCTGAGGGACTGACCTGCGGCTGAGGGACTGACCTGCGGCTGAGGGACTGACCTGCGGCTGAGGGACTGACCTGCGGCTGAGGGACTGACCTGCGCTGAGGGACTGACCTGCGGCTGAGGGACTGACCTGCGGCTGAGGGACTGACCTGCGGCTGAGGGACTGACCTGCGGCTGAGGGACTGACCTGCGGCTGAGGGACTGACCTGCGGCTGAGGGACTGACCTGCGGCTGAGGGACTGACCTGCGGCTGAGGGACTGACCTGCGGCTGAGGGACTGACCTGCGGCTGAGGGACTGACCTGCGGCTGAGGGACTGACCTGCGGCTGAGGGACTGACCTGCGGCTGAGGGACTGACCTGCGGCTGAGGGACTGACCTGCGGCTGAGGGACTGACCTGCGGCTGAGGGACTGACCTGCGGCTGAGGGACTGACCTGCGGCTGAGGGACTGACCTGCGGCTGAGGGACTGACCTGCGGCTGAGGGACTGACCTGCGGCTGAGGGACTGACCTGCGGCTGAGGGACTGACCTGCGGCTGAGGGACTGACCTGCGGCTGAGGGACTGACCTGCGGCTGAGGGACTGACCTGCGGCTGAGGGACTGACCTGCGGCTGAGGGACTGACCTGCGGCTGAGGGACTGACCTGCGGCTGAGGGACTGACCTGCGGCTGAGGGACTGACCTGCGGCTGAGGGACTGACCTGCGGCTGAGGGACTGACCTGCGGCTGAGGGACTGACCTGCGGCTGAGGGACTGACCTGCGGCTGAGGGACTGACCTGCGGCTGAGGGACTGACCTGCGGCTGAGGGACTGACCTGCGGCTGAGGGACTGACCTGCGGCTGAGGGACTGACCTGCGGCTGAGGGACTGACCTGCGCTGAGGGACTGACCTGCGGCTGAGGGCGACTGCGGCTGAGGGGACTGACCTGCGGCTGAGGGACTGACCTGCGGCTGAGGCGACTGAGCCTTGCGGCTGAGGGACTGACCTGCGGCTGAGGGACTGAACCTTGCGGCTGAGGGACTGACCTGCGGCTGAGGGACTGACCTGCGGCTGAGGGACTGACCTGCGGCTGAAGGGAACTGACACTGCGGCTGAGGGACTGACCTGCGGCTGAGGGACTGACCTGCGGCTGAGGGACTGACCTGCGGCTGAGGGACTGACCTGCGGCTGGGGACTACCTGCGGCTGAGGGACTGACCTGCGGCTGAGGGACTGACCTGCGGCTGAGGGAGCTGACCTGCGGCTGAGGGACTGACCTGCGGCTGAGGGACTGACCTGCGGCTGAGGGACTGACCTGCGGCTGAGGGACTGACCTGCGGCTGAGGGACTGACCTGCGGCTGAGGGACTGACCTGCGGCTGAGGGACTGACCTGCGCTGAGGGACTGACCTGCGGCTGAGGGACTGACCTGCGGCTGAGGGACTGACCTGCGGCTGAGGGACTGACCTGCGGCTGAGGGACTGACCTGCGGCTGAGGGACTGACCTGCGGCTGAGGACTGACCTGCGGCTGAGGGACTGACCTGCGGCTGAGGGACTGACCTGCGGCTGAGGGACTGACCTGCGGCTGAGGGACTGACCTGCGGCTGAGGGACTGACCTGCGGCTGAGGGACTGACCTGCGGCTGAGGGACTGACCTGCGGCTGAGGGACTGACCTGCGGCTGAGGGACTGACCTGCGGCTGAGGGACTGACCTGCGGCTGAGGGACTGACCTGCGGCTGAGGGACTGACCTGCGGCTGAGGGACTGACCTGCGGCTGAGGGACTGACCTGCGGCTGAGGGACTGACCTGCGGCTGAGGGACTGACCTGCGGCTGAGGGACTGACCTGCGGCTGAGGGACTGACCTGCGGCTGAGGGACTGACCTGCGGCTGAGGGACTGACCTGCGGCTGAGGGACTGACCTGCGGCTGAGGGACTGACCTGCGGCTGAGGACTGACCTGCGGCTGAGGGACTGACCTGCGGCTGAGGGACTGACCTGCGGGCTGAGGGCTGACCTGCGGCTGAGGGACTGACCTGCCTGAGGGACCTGACCGCGGGGAGGGACTGACCTGCGGCTGAGGGACTGACCTGCGGCTGAGGGACTGACCTGCGGCTGAGGGGACTGACCTGGCGGCTGAGGGACTGACCTGCGGCTGAGGGACTGACCTGCGGCTGAGGGACTGACCTGCGGCTGAGGGACTGACCTGCGGCTGGGGACTGACCTGCGGCTGAGGGACTGACCTGCGGCTGAGGGACTGACCTGCGGCTGAGGACGACCTGCGGCTGAAGGGACTGACCTGCGGCTGAGGGACTGACCTGCGGCTGAGGGACTGACCTGCGCTGAGGGACTGAACATGCGGCTGAGGGACTGACCTGCGGCTGAGGGACTGACCTGCGGCTGAGGGACTGACCTGCTGCTGAGGGACTGACCTGCGGCTGAGGGACTGACCTGCGGCTGAGGGACTGACCTGCGGCTGAGGGACTGACCTGCGGCTGAGGGACTGACCTGCGGCTGAGGGACTGACCTGCGGCTGAGGGAACTGACCTGCGGCTGAGGGACTGACCTGCGGCTGAGGGACTGACCTGCGGCTGAGGGACTGACTGCGGCTGAGGGACTGACCTGCGGCTGAGGGACTGACCTGCGGCTGAGGGGACTGACCTGCGGCTGAGGGACTGACCTGCGGCTGAGGGACTGACCTGCGGCTGAGGACTGACCTGCGGCTGAGGGACTGACCTGCGGCTGAGGGACTGACCTGCGGCTGAGGGACTGACCTGCGGCTGAGGGACTGACCTGCGGCTGAGGGACTGACCTGCGGCTGAGGGACTGACCTGCGGCTGAGGGACTGACCTGCGCGGCTGAGGACTGACCTGCGGCTGAGGGACGGACCTGCGGCTGAGGGACTGACCTGCGGCTGAGGGACTGACCTGCGGCTGAGGGACTGACCTGCGGCTGAGGGACTGACCCTGCGGCTGAGGGACTGACCTGCTCTGAGGACTGACCTGCGGCTGAGGGACTGACCTGCGGCTGAGGGACTGACCCTCGGCTGAGGACTGACCGCGTTGAGGGACTGACTGGCGGCTGAAGGGACTGACCTGCGGCTGAGGGACTGACCTGCGGCTGAGGGCTGACCTGCGGCTGAG